TCTGCCAAACAGCCACTGAAGTTGCCGCTCTTGCCGTTGTTGTTTGTCTCGACATGCACAACCCCTCCAACAAAGCTTTCGACTGAGGTGTACCTCATCTCCCTCGCTGCTTGCTGGCTGCCTCATCATGCACTCGCCCGACACCCGACGCCCGGCGAATCGGACGTCAATGGAACTTCGCTCTCGTCGCTAAGCTTTTTGTTGCCTCGAAGCTTGTCTGTCTGATCTTTCTGCTAAATCGAACTGCCCCGTCTTCCGTCTCCCGTCGCCCCGGTCCTCTCCTCTTCCTGGTCGTTACATCCAAAAACATTGCTACACAGAGATCTCCCTGGTCACCCAGGCCGGCTCCGAGGCCTTGCCCAATGGACGTCAACAACTGGCCCTTGCCAACGACCAAGCTGAGGTGAAAAAAGAAACGGCTTCTCCGTCTTTGTCTCTCGTTCCCTACCTACCTACCTACCCATGTACCACAAATACGTGCATGCCCAAAGGTCTCGCCAATCCCGCTAAACAAGCAGGTCATTCGGTGCGGAAAAGAGAACCTCCTCAGTGTCTTAGCGCGGAGGAAAAGACCCTACCTTAGCCTCATCACCTCGAGGCACGTCGCTGGGTCCGGATACGGGCACCAACAGTCCCCGGCCTGCTCACACTGCCTAGCCAAACCACTTGCCTAGGTACCGTCAATAACTACGAAGTGCTCTGTACTAGGTAAGTAGACCACCTCAGTCAGGACCGCCTCCAGCTCAGTCTGCAGATCTCTGGAGAATGTCTGCCTCCCGCTCTCCTCTCTCGGTCTCAAAACCCTCCCTCAATGAGAATTTAACTTTCTGTCTCATCAAGGACCCGGTCCTCCCAGACGGCAACTTGTGCCGACTGTTCCAGACTCGACATGCACCGACTGATGTCTAGTGACAGTTAGACGATGTCCGACCGGTTCTCTCGGCATTCACTCACTCGGGGTTCCCAGCAATACGGCACCCTTCGCGTGCTTCTCTATGCCAATAGACCCTCTCCTTGCAGACCGTCACACAAGTGACACAAGCCCATCTGCCCTCGGTTGCATGTCTTCCATCTCATGCCACGCGTGGTTGCATCTGCAAGCCTTGGGACATGTCATACAACAAAGACGATGATGCTGGTCCTGTAGAGAGGATCGCATCGTACGATGCGACCAATGGAACCACGCATCCTGAGATGACTAGCTTGCCCGCCCTCGATTTCGTTGCCGCTACAAGTATCGAAATGGGTGGGCGCAAGAGTCCAGCGACACAAGCAGGCCGCGGACGGTTTAAACGGCAACAACGTGCATGCGCCGCCAGACCGCTTCTGATAGACAATCGACTATCGGACACCCATCTTGCGTGGCCTGTGTCCCAAGTCCCGGTTTTGGCCAGTGCCACACAAGTTACAACACAAGATGACAATTGCCAGCGCCCAGGAATCCTACGATAGACGTCCCGCTGCAAGTCAACTCGCGGGAAAGGCTTCTAGCAACTGTACACCCTTCTAGCTTCGATCGCTAACCGCCAATGCGTCTTGGCATCCCCATACAAGTCTCGCAATCTTTCAATCTTCGGACGCTTGTGGTGCTTAACCTGGAATCTGTCAGCGACCAACTGTCCTTCCGCAGGCCTTGTCAGCAGTCGTAGGTCACAGCGCTTGTGTATTTTTTGGCGTCTTGATTCAATCTCAACCAAGTACATGAGAGGAGCGCAGGGTACCCCTCACAGACACAACGCCCGGGCAGACGTCATTGAAACATTGGCTGTTCGCCCGGTTAGATCCACCAGGACAGGGCAGGCAGGACAGGGGCAACGGCTCCCGCCAGTTCTTTGGGAAGTGTGCCGTTCAACCATAGCCTGGCAGATAGCGAAGCTTGTCGAAACTGATTTAGTCTGGAGGAGATTTTCAGAGGCTGGTCAATCATCGATATCGCTCGCTCTGTACGGATACCTACCAGCCGCATTGACACTACGCGCCGAAGATGCCGGTCTACCGCTTGCCGTCGCTTGTCCTGCGTTTCTTCCACTGTCTACGCTGCCTTCGGCATCTTACAGGCTCCCGGCCGCGACCTGGCGCCCCGTCCCCCTTGTCTAAAGCGGCACACAAACCCGAACATCACTTCTACGTCATGTGAGTTCAAACGTCTGATTCGCCGGCGCGTCTCGGTTGGCTGCCACATAGATATGCCTGCGAAAGAAGGAAACCATTCTGGCGAGTTGGCAAGCACTTGCACCAAAGACCGCGCGGCCTCTTGTTGGCGACGTGCCTGCGACAAAAGGTGATTTGCCCCCTTGAGGCAGTGCCCAACGACAAGGCCTTGGGTGCAATGTCGCTTTCATCGAGCATCTTGGCTTTATCTTGGCTGCCCTCGTCTTGGGGGCTGCTGTGTGTTGTAGCATCACAAGAAGCGGGTTGCCCGTCTACTGCCCAGCCCACAGCCACCGTTGATATCCATTTTGCCCACGGCAGTCATGTCGGAGGGTATTAAACGGGCTAGTGCAGCTCTGATTTCGAGGTGCCAAGCTGTACCGGCGAACCCTGTCAGCAATGGAAATTGAAGAAGCTATTCGATCTACTGCAGCTGCGGCTTGGCAACCTGGGGCGCTCAGTTCTCGTCAGACTTGTGTACGCCAAGTCACTCCCACCATCCCATCTCGCTCCATCTCGCTCTAAGTCTTGGGTACAGAGGTAATGCTTTGCCTCTGGGGTCGTGGCTCACCTCGAGGAGTAAGCACGCTCATGCGCCAAGTGCAGCCAGGTGCCTTAATTCTGGGAATTTAGCTTGACGTGCCCGTTGCACACTTCTTGTATTCAACTACGTATAAACTTGATATCAACGTGATGGAGGGAGCACGCCACAGGGCACGGCTTCATCATTCCAGGCAGGGTCTACAGGACGAGGCGCATCTAGTTCCGCCTGCATCCGCTCTTGGCCGTGATCTCCGCCGGGCACGAAACCTCCTTGAAGGACACGCTCGGGTTGTCGGCACCCTGGAACCAATCGAACCGCCAGTAGCATCCGGCCTTGAGCTTCTCCGGGAACCCGTCGCACTCGGAGCGGGAGCTGACGCCTCCGTATCGCTGGCCCCACCCGTTCGGCGGCGCTCCGTACTGATCGGTACACGCGTTGAACTGTCCCACGCCGCCGCCGGGGATCTGCTACGATGTCAGTAATTGATCGACACTACCGATTCTCTGGCGGTGCTCTGCAGGCTGCGTCGAGCAGATGCTCAAGTGGGGCATATGTCCGGGTCCCGGAGATCGGGGCGCCGGGACGGTGATCATCGGGCCCGGTCCCGATCCGCCCCGTCCAACCTTCTATCCACCCCAGGAGAGAAAGAAACCCATACGGAAAAAGATAAAGTGTCTAACTCACAGCAAGATCAAAGTGATTCTGTCCCAAATCGCCTCCAGTATTCGTGGCCTGCACAACCATCTTCTTCCCGCTCACCGGCCCGCTCGTGAACGTGAGCTCGTAGCACGCACAGCACCACGACGCCTCCGTCCCGCCCGAGATCCGCACCGCCGCCCACCCGTACGCCAGGCTGTCGCTGACGGCCCACGGCGAGTTCGAGCTGCACATGTACGCCGACCCGCCCGCGTCGCAGCCCGACTTGGTGGCTCCGCCGTCGTTGAGCCGGTTGTCGTTGCGGTCGCACGTGCCCACGGGCCCGGCGGCGAGGGAGGCCTTCCCGGGCCACGCGCACGACGGCTTGCAGCAGTCCCAGTAGCGCGTCGTGGAGCCGGTGCCCGAGGCCTGGGAGGCGGCGAGGGGGAGCAGCGAGAAGAGCGCGACGAGGGCTTGCGTGGGATGCATCTTTTTCTCTCTGTGGCTGGTGCAACTTTGATGTTCTGTGGGAATGTGCTCTCGGCGGTTGAGGTGTTGAAGAAAGTTTTTGGGTATGTTTATATATAGTTATTCCGGGCTTGCTAGAGGTTTCAGTCGGAATGAGAGTTTTGCTGTGTAATTACAGGCGGGAGAGTAATATATCAAAACCATGGACAACTACACATGACCTATATCATACCGAGAAACACTCTTTTCGAGTTGCTTCCAAAGTGTAAAGGACGGGGAACACCTGCCCGACCAGCCGACACCATATTGCCGGTACCAAAGAAGCACACAAAACCGACTGCCTCGTGCCGTCCGCAAAACCTGCTTCGAACGAGCCGAAAATCAGTCTGTAGACGCGGCACGCACCACCGACTAATACAAGTCCGATATACCCAGGGGAGGCGGCACCCCGAGAGACAAGACCGTGGTTCTGGCAATCTAGCAGAAACCACGCTTCCGCGCCCTCATGTGAGCTCAATTTGCGATCTAGGCCGATTCACCCAAACGGAGAAATGTTCCGACGGCAGTCGCGCCGATGGGTGCGTCTGTTTCCCCGCAATCGTCAACGTTCGCCAGGGGGAGATGCAATGCAAGGTAGGATCCGGAGCTGCGAGAGAAAACCCTCCATGGGGCAAGAGATCAGCCGGTTAATTCTCATGTGGCTCAGAAGATTTTACAACCGGCTGATGGGGAATTTTGAGGACCGGCGTCATAAGTTGTTCCAAGTTCAAGTACATCACTTTACCATTTATCACGTTTGTAAATTTCTACACCGTCCACACGGCCGCCTAGTAACGTTGCAATGTATGGTAGATTATTTTGCAGGGCGCATAACGCGACGACGATGGGTATAAGTACAAGAAAAGATGATTGATATCAGCGGGTGTTAAAGACGACGCCGAGTTGCATGAGAGGCAAGTCTTCAGACGACGTTAGCATGTTACTTGCACCAAGACCATGATCAAAGGCACCTCCAAGTCACTACGAATCAATCAACAGTGTAATCTTATGAAATCAAGACTTTTCGTTATTGAGCTTCGTTAACCTGTATCATCAACCGCCCCCACCTACTCCAGTTAAAAGCCAGTCCATGTCGACAACCAAAAGCAACTAGCATCGGGTCTGCGTGAACCCATGTCTAGGTGATTCAACAGCAGCAATTCTACCATCTGCGGTTGTTGTTGTCGCCGAAGCTCTCGGCAACCTTGCCGATGAACTCGCCGAAGCCGCCGCCGCCCTCGCGACGCTCATCGTCGTCGTCATCACGGCGTCGGCCGTGGTGCTCCTCCCGACCGCCATAGCCACCCTCCTGACGACCACCGTAGCCGCCTTCTTGGCGTCCGTAACCGCCCTCATCGTCGCGGCGGCCTCCGTAGCCACCACCGCCGCCGCCGTAGCTTTCCTCCTGACGACCGTAACCGCCGCTGCCACCACCACCATAGCCGCCCTCGTCATGGCGACGACCACCGCCGTAACCACCTTCATCCTCGCGGCGACCACCGCCGTAGCCTCCACCTCCACCGTAGCTCTCGTCCTGACGACCGTAACTGCTTTCCTCGTGGCGACGACCACCACCGTAGCCACCCTCGTCGTCGCGTCGACCGCCTCCGTATCCGCCCTCATCATGACGACGACCACCGTAGCCTCCCTCGTCCTCGTCGCGTCGGTTTCCACCGCCGTAGCCACCACCCGTGCTGCCCTCGTAGCGGTGAGTCTCGGTGCGCTGCTCGTATCCACCGCCATAGGAAGGTCTAGTCTCTGTGGTCTCCTGGTACTCGTAGCCGCTGGTCTGACGTCCGCCTTGGCTGTCTTCCTGCTCGTAGCGACGGTACTCGGAGCGGCCTCCACCGCCAGAGTACTGAGTCTCCTTATACTCAGCCTGGCCGTACTTGTTGCCGTGGTGGCCATACTCAGTCTGAGTCTGCGTGTAGTTGCCCTCGTCATCGCGACGGCTGCTGTGGCGAGACTCGGTCTCGTCCTTCTTGAAAACACCGCCGAGGATAGAGCCAATGAGCCCGCCTGCACCTCCACCTCCACTGGACTCCTCTTCCTCCTGCTGGTGCTTGTACTGGGGGATCTTAACGCCAGCTTGCTGCTGCACCAGGCCGGCAATGGCTCCAGAAGCACCCTCGAGAATGGCGCCAGCAGCCTGGTCGGCAACCTTGTCCTCCCAATTCTTGGGCTCACCGAATTGCTTGCGCATGTGAAGCTTTCCACTGCAGCCGTGGCCGTGGCCAGTGTCGTGCTCGCCCTCCTTGTGGTTCTCTCCCCGCTGGACGCCCTCACGGCTCAACTTGCGGCGGTAGTCATCCTGCTGGCTTCTATCCATGTTGTTCCACCACTCCTCGACGAACCGGAAGATCTTCTGACGTCCCTCAGTCGCACCGTCCTCGCCCATATCGCGCTGAGCGGGGTGGTGCATGACGCCGAAGATGATGCGGTTGATGGTGCGGTTAACATCAACACCCTCATCATCAATGGCCTCCATCAGTTGAGGCACAACCCACTGCACAGTCAGAGCAGCGCAGCGGCCAGCAATCTCGTTCAGAATCTGCAAATGAATTAGCTTAAATGCCTTTCAGCACTGAGAGACGTAGGTAGCTACTTACGTTGGTAAAGTGGTCCTTGGACAGCATAGAGTGAGTGGGGTCGGTGCTGCGGTCATCATCGAAGACGACGTGTTGCTCCCTCTCACTGCTCTCGATGATCTCGGCAGAACCAGTGCGCAGCTCGTTGCGGATCTGGCTGATGACAGGGATGATGAAGGGGGCAATGAGAGAGAAGACAAACTTGGAAAGCTGCTCCTCAAGCTGCTCCAGAATCTTGGGGAGGACGGGAATCTTCTCAATGGCCTCGCTGATGCCCTGCAGAATCTCGTCGTGGAACTGAATGGCAGGCATGATCTGCTTGAAAACGTTCTGGATGTACTGAGTGAACTCCTCAGGGTCTCTGGGAGAGACCTGCATGTTCTGGAGCTGCGACTCGGCAGCGCTGCTCTGGAGCTCATCCACCCGGTTGCTCTGGTGCTTACCGCCAAATATACCATCGGGAATCATGTCCAGCAAGTTGCGCAGAATGCTGGTGTCGTTATTCTTGCTCTCCTGAAGGGTGCCCTCAAGCTCCTCAATCTCGTTCTGGGTGAGCTTGTCAGAGACTGTGATAGGATTAGCTAGGTTCAACCGATGAGATCTCCGTAGACCTACCCTCTCCAGTAACGGAGTGCAGGAAGTCAACACCACCGAAAGTGCCAGTGACAATCGGATAGACCTCGTCTCTAGCGCCTTCGAGTCTAATGCGGGTGTCTCTGCCGACGTGGGGGAACGTGTCGCGCTCGCCCATCTCGATGAGGGCAAGCTCGGTGTAGTTGCTGTGCGCAAAGAAGTCTGCGGGTCGCAATTGTTAGTAACCTTACAGCTGAGGATAAAGTTGTCGAGCACCGTACCTTCCAAGCAGTGCAGACCGGTTCCCATCAGGCGCATCGCCTCGTAGAGATCGGCCTCATTCTTGTTGCGACCGTATCCTCGAGCGAGCTCGATGCAGGTGGCGAAGAGCTTGCGGACGTGAGCGGCAGAGGTCATGATACCGGCCTGCTCGTTCGCAATGTAGTTCTTCATTCCGGTGCGCTCGTCGATGGCAAGCTCGACGCCCTCGTCAACGGGGCCTCTAAGGCGACGGTCGTACTGGCGGGCATCGATGTTGTCGGCGTAGTTCTTGGGGTTGTCAATGTGGTCCTCGGGGCGGTAGCAGCCCAGTCTGTCGGCCGTAACCTCGAACTCCCTGGATCCGTAGCCGAAGGTAAGGAAGCCCAGGACGCAAAGGAGCAGGCGGATGGCCTCGGCTGAGACAGACTTGACGGTACCGACGTCAATGGCTTGGGAGTAGTCTCTCAGCCAGTTGCCGAAGTAGACACGAGAGACCATCATCTTGGTGAACTTCTTGCCGTTCATGGAGCGGGCCATCGCAAGGGTGAGGAGCGCATCTTCAATGTCGCCATGGCGCCCTGGTTTACCGCACGGTTAGCGTCTATAGCTAGCAAGAGGTAATTGGAAATAAGCTCACAGTTCTGGCCCTCAATCTTGGAGATGCCGGCGATGTTGCCAGCTCCGAAGGCGTGGGCCGGCCGGGAGAACCAGACCAGCACGATCAGGCCGACCAGCAATGGGTAGGACCTGGCGTCGAGCATGATGACTTTTACCTCGTATCTCCTCTCTCTTGTTGTTTTAGTTGGGGGGTATCTTGTTTGTAGTTCTGTAGAGACAGCTCAGTGGTTGGGTCAAGCGGGGCAGAGTTTGCAGGAGAGCAGACTTGGTGAATGATGGAGGGAGGGAGGAGAGGTTATGAAATAGGTAAGGTAGGCAAGGAGGACGGGAGGTTATGACACGGCCAAGGGGTGAAGAAAAGGAGGGGCCCTTTGACGGTTCAGAGGCGGTGGAGGGGCAACACGAAGGACGTTACTGCGGTATTCCAAGGCTGGCTGGGTTGGGGACGTCGAGTGTCTGGTCTGGCATGGAGAAACTTGGAAGTCGGAGCTATCAGAAGCCAGAATGACAATCAAACAAGCGGACGGTGCTCCAGTAACGCAGCAGAGGCCAGGCCAGATCCAGGCCAGTCCAATCCGCGATCTGATGCTTGTGTCTGTCTGCCCCTCCCTCCCACCTCTCACATCCCACCTGCCAGCGTCAAAGAGGGACTGGAGGTGGTCTGTGGTCCAAGCCCCAGGTGCCATGGCATCATACTACTGCGCAATAGCTGCTGCCAAGACAACCCCCCACCAATGCCAGCGGACTGTGTAGAGGGGCTTGCGGATGCCGATTGGGAGCTTGAATCAAGACAGGGGGATGGTTGCGAGTTTGGTGAATTGGTGAAGGGCGCCGCTGAGAGCGTCGGTACCTGGGAGCGGTAGGGAACTTACATACACGGACGAGGTATCTGAGGTAGCCGGCGACTGGCGGTGCGCGGTAGATGCACGTCGGAATGGGGCAGGGGTCTGCATCAAGCTCAAGCCAGCTGTGGATTCGGTAGGTGATCGTCGGTCCTCGGGATGCTGTTGTGCTTAACTGTCCGGCGGGCGCGTCAGACAGACCTTGGCCAGCTGAAGGCTGTGTGAGGTGAACCGCGAGGAATGAGAAAGCACGGTGCCTTGCGGTGACTTGGTTTGCGTGCCTAGATACCAGGAAATCCGATAATTTGTGGCCGCAGATGGTTTGATAACGCCTGCGGATGTTGGTGAGATGACGCAGTCTGAGCTTGCACCCGATGACAATCCAAGTACACGTCTTTTTTCCCCTCCTCGCTCTATCTGAACGACGGCGGAAGGCGCACACCTCAAGATGGATGGCAGGAAGGTACGTCTAAACACGGTGCTAATTCGCACCTCAAAGCAAGGTGGAATTGGAAGCTGCAGATACGCCCCAGGACTTTCCATTTTTCTCGAGAGATGGTCATCTCATCATCTGTTTTTTTCTTTCTCTTTCGCCCAAAGTACTGAGTAGTAGTGTGCTGTTGCTGGTGTGGGTAGCTACGGGGGTCACTGACGCGCAAACAAGCTCAGTCTCGGATGAGCAATCGACAGCTGCTCGCCCTGGCCAGCGTTCATACTTTCAGCGAGGGCTGAGGCGAACCCAAACTGAAAATAGGAAACTGAAAGTCACCTTTTTTCGGATGGCCACGAACCCTGTCACGTCCATCTCTCGTCTTGTGCCTGGCGTCGTCGGGTGCTGGGTCTGCCATCTGCGCGGCGGCAGAGGGCGACCGCTGCCCGCATGCCGCCAGTGCTTTTTTACCTCATCGCGGCTGTTGGAGGGTCGCGGGGTTGGCCCGCTGCCAATGGGCTGCCTCCAGCGAGCTGAGGTCCCCATCAAAACCGATGGGGGTCGCGTTTCAAAACGGGATGAGACGGTCGGCGCGGTCAAGGCCAGCTCCCAGTGAAGGGAAGGGAAGGGAAGGGGATGGGAGGGGGGTTTTCAACTGGTGTCACGGGAGGAGGGGCAGCTTCTGCCAGCTTTCACTGTGCATCAATCCTTCACTGTGTGCGCACACGGAGCGCTAGCTGACAGCTCTTGTCAATAGGCGCTTTTAACCATCATCCGACGACGCGATTATCGACGGCCGCGTTGCTGTCGCCGTCGTCGCTGGTCTCTCGGGTCGAGAGTAGTGACGAAATTCAGAACTGAGCTCAAGTCTTGCGAGGAAGTGACACTGAAGCCTACAACACGACGCAGAGAAACTCACTCGCGCCCCCTCGGTCGCAGCCACCGTCCAAGACAAAGACCGTTACACGGCTTCCTCCCGGAGCCACCATCGACAGAGGAGGTATGCACCTTACTTCATAATTGCCCTACCCAAGTTACACCATTACCAACGCTCGACAGGAACTATATTCGTATGTTTATCGGAAACATTGAAATGCGTAGTCTGTCGGTTCATCACACATGCCACAGCGAATATGCTCACCGCGCCTCACTGGACAGGAACAGTCCTCGACGCGCGTGTGGAAGCTACCCCTCGTCGCAAGAGATGGGGGCATGAGACTTGCCCTTACAGAGGGGCGCGCTGTGGCTCGGTACAATGCTCGCGCCACGATGTTGTGGTTCGGGCAGGTAAGCGAGAAAACGTGGTCGCGCAGCCGCCTCATCGACCAGCCAGAGTCACTCAAGGAGCCATGCGCGCGATTCAGTTTCCAATGGCCATAGTAGCCCCTGTCAGATACGGAGATCACCAGCAACATGATCTCTGAGCATTGAACTCTGTGCAGAGGAGGTGGTCTTTTGGAGGGTTGTTGTTTACGCAGTATCGTGTGGTTCATCATCTAACATCAGAGTGGTAGGCTGCGCAATTCTATGTCCTGCATCGGCGAATGTCTTGGACATACCCTTTTTTTGCTCAGAGGTCGTGCTCCAAGGCCTGCTATCATGAGCGCTGCCTAAGGTACCCAGGTAATGGAAGAATCGCGCACGTAGGCAGGCAGCAGGCAGATAATGTGTCGCATCAGACATGCACTAGGCCAGCGCTGAGAGCTCAGCTCGGTGAAGTTCGGTGACTAATCGGTGGCCTCGGTGACAGGGCAACCCATCACCTACATCACTATGGGGAAGCTGCTATTACAGCCATGTGCTGTGCCTGGCCAGCGAGGCGGTGGTCACTTGCGGCATTGCGTTGCCGTTGTGCGGAGAGTATGTGCGTAGAACAACAACGCGTGTTGGGGTACGCGTTGCCACCGCCTGCACATCTCCTCAAAAGCGTATTGATCAAGATAACTCTCACATCACAACATCTAAAGACCACAATTCGTTTGATCAGAGCATATTCGGGACTTCAAGCTTGCTGTATATGCCCAGACCGAGCAGTCCTGCTGACGGCTCACATGCCTACAGTAAGGTACGCTGGGGGACAGTTAGCGACGCTCGAGTCGAATCGAGAACAGCTGGCGTATGCGAATGTAAATCAGAGTGAACGCGGGATCCAAGACAGATGGAGAGGCGAGGCCGGTAGGTGCCTATGTACAGAGGGGATGCTGGCCAAAGCCAGCAATCTGGGCTGCCCAAAGCCGAGTTCGACGCCGTCGAAAGGACCAAGTAATGACCTAGTAGGTAGGTAGGGAGGGAACGTCAAAAGAAGCGTCCACTTGCGAGACCAGGTCTTGATCAAGTTGGACAGGTCCAGTGATCATGCCGAAGTTCTTGTAGGCGCTGGACAGTTGAACCGATCACCTAATTACGACGGCATCGACTGAGGAGGAGGGAACAGGACGAGACGGCTGTGGTGGAAGACGCCTGCGCTGCCCAGGAGGCCTTTGGGGCTCGGGTCGTCGATGGCAGAGGAATCATTCAGTCACCAAAGTCACTGGCAGATTGCTGGGTTTTGCTGGTCAAAACGGGGCGCCTCTGAATGGAATGTTGGCATGTGAAGCGAGACGCTGTTGACCCTAAAGGACAGCGATGGGTTGAGAAGTCGGCGCTGAGCGAGCAGAGTCTGGACGGAGGGACAAGTTCTACCACAGCTGAGACTCTGAGGGGGGCACGAAGGGCGCTGGGCGTGTGGATGGGATCAGCGGCAAATCTACAGAGTCTACAGAGAAAGAGAGACGGAGAGGGAGATGGAAAACCCTCCAGGCGGCCTTCTGACGCACCCCGCTTTCAACGTGGTCCTCTCTCTTTTCCGGCTGATCACTGATCCCTCAGGCCCGACATAAGAGAGGGCGGGGAGGAGAACAGACGTGGGAATCGACGGACCCAAGGCTCCCAACAATTCAGCGACAGCTGGGCCTGAGTCGACTGGATATGGGGTACGTCGCTGAAAGTACCTTACCCAGGAGCCATCTGAAGGGGAGGGCCGAGGGAAAGCGCCTCGGCAGGAGGGCACCTCAGTGAGATTGTGCCTTTTGAGGGGACTTGGAGCAAGGCAACCGCTGACGAGGACAGCTTGCTTTGTGTGCCCTTGGGCCTTGGGGACGCGAACGAGCAGGTCGGGTCGAAGGGTGGAAGCCTGGTGGTGCGATAACGGGGCTTCCGCTCTGAAGTTTGGAGGAAAACACAGCAGCAATAAGCAGGACAGTGGGGAAGGCCTCAGATTGTGGCCGCTGTCGGCCGCTGTCGGGGGTGGTCGGGAGAAGAAGGGATTTTCTCGGGGGCTTTGGGGGTGTTCGACTCAGAGGTTCCTCAGGTCAGACAAGAGGGAAGCAAGCCCATCGCTTCAACGGCGGCCGCTCTGTTCAGGCACACAGGCGGGGACAGGCACCCAACACTGACCTGGCAGAGGTCTTGCTGCTTTAATGGGCAAGGTGCCTCGGATGTGCTGGGCGGCCCAGAGAGAGAGAGTCCCGCCGAAGCAGGTACGGTACCTTACCTGGAGGAGGCCGACAGAGTGTTCGCACCCCTGGTCAGCTCGGATTTGTTTTTTTCTTGTTGTTCTTTCCGGGTTCCCCTCAGGCGAAGCCACAGCGAGTGCCCCCATCCTGGGCCCCTCATTGGGCGACTGGGCACATCGCTAATTGAGGTGTGATGGTGCACACGCAGGAAAATGTGGGCGCCCGCCAGAAAATTGGGCGCAATGAAAAGTATCCCGTCACCATTACCACTCCGCTGGAAGTTCTGTGCAGGTATCGCCAGAGCATCAGATCGAGGTCCAGCAGGATAGAGGGCGCGCCCAGAGGATTGAGACATCCGCAACGGCCACGAACGAGGG